AATTGATGAATGCAGCACACCATTCTCTAGCTTCGCCATAAAGCATTGTTATCTGTAAGACTGCATACACTTTTCTTGATACAGCTTTATACAATTGAAAATTCCCATTTTATATACAAAATGTCAAATATGGACGAAGAATATTCTTTTCAATGAAGTCTCATCAGGTTTTAAAATCAATTTCTTTAACAACATTAATAGCCAAAATGCATTTAGGAATGAGTATGAAATTATAATTAAAATTTGACTCTTTAAGATTGTGGATAGTAGTGTAATTTATATATGTGGTGATAAGCTGAGTGCAAACTCTGTCAATTGATTGGTGATCAGACGTATGGTGAAGGGAAATTACTAATAAAGTTCAAGGTTACACATTGTGTGGAGTGAGTGATTAGTAAAATGAATGACACGAATTCATTTAACGGGAGAAATGGAATGGATATGTCATCATAAGATTAATAAATGAAACGAATAAGATAATGAGAGTAGTAATAATGAATTTTAAAGGTATATTATAATAAGACGGGAGGAAAGTCTGATTAAAAAATAGCACCAACAATAATAATAATGATAATTTCGTTTTTCATTTTGAAAAGAAAGAAAAGAAGACAGCGGAGACGAAAAAGAAAGATTAAAAAGAAACAAATGAGTTGAGGGAATACCGTTTAGTTAATGGAAGACCACGGAGAAGTATGGCTTGAACACGTTCTTTTTTGAATATAAAGTTTAGGCTTCGTTGATCTTATAGCTACAGCATCCGCTATACGGAGAATACGTGAACGAATGGTACATGGTAGATGTCTTCGGAACGCGCATCTAGCATCTAATTGGTGTCCTGTATCTATTAGATATGCTAGTGTAGCACTTCTAGTGGGTTTGATCTCACCCTTTTCAAACCATGCAGGTAGATGTTCTCGTATTCTGAGACGGATGTGTCTAATAGTCCCCCCACCCCCATATAACTTGTTCCACAGGTAGAGCTGAAATTAGGAAAGGTGTCCTTAAGTATTAAAATTTTGCGTAATATTCTGATTTGTGTTGATGTACACAGTGCGATGTCATAAAGACGGTCGATTTGACGCTTTTTATTGTTTACACTATCTCTATATCTGGGTTCAATAATAACGAACTAGACACATAGAAACGCCAATTCACAGCCTCCTCTAGAACGGTATCATCAACTTCTTAGGAGTGCACTAATGGCAATTGACAATATAAAATGGACCGAGTCTCTGCGGTTGGTTCTTCTCAGCGTTCGTTCAACACAGTGTACTCCTGACGAGTTAGCTTACTGCAATAACTTACGTTTGCCCAATGAAATGGCCGCTTCAGATAGTAGTAACCCAACTCCCACCGACATCCACAGTTATGCGCAAACTCTTAAGCTTCACATGCGTCGCCTCCAACCCGCATCCACACGAATCCAGTTTAAACGGGTGCAGTTGGATATACGACTTCAAGACTGCACACGTGTCTTTGTGCGTTGTGATGCTGTACGTAGACCCTTACAGCCACCATACGATGGACCCTTCAGGTTTCTCAGTAAGGAAGAAAATTTCTTTGTTATTGACAGATCAGGACGGCAAGATACCATAAGTGTCGATTGTTTGAAAGCAGCGTATACAGAAGACGACCCACCTTCCTTTACACTGACACAACCAGAGAAACCCTTGCCGCCAAACCCTCAAAAAGATTCGTGAAGTCGTAAGTACCTTGACTCTTCTAAAAAAGCCACCTCTGATCCAGTACCCTCCGCACGTACTAGGAGGCGTGTGCGCTGGCCCAAACGATGTGCCGACTTCCTTAATTAGCCCCAGCGCAACTTCACACTCGATAAATTCGGGGTTTCAACTATTTTATCCTTGCACGCACTAACACTGCGTTTTCATACCTAAAGTTTTCACAAGTTTTGTTCACTACTTTAAAAACAAAAAAACAAAAATTTTAAAAGAAACTCGAAAATACAATTAGCAGTTCAAAAACCTTTTTGGCTGGTCATTATTTACTCTTCTCTACTTGCCTCACTATTTGCATTTGTTTGGTTTTTCTTTTCTTAGCACTTTATTGTCCTGTTTCTTTCTTCCTGTAATATTTAGGAAATGCGTTGGAACTTGGATACAATTTGCTCCTGACGATGCTACTTGGATCGTTCTGTGGTTCATCTTTGTACCACTTTCTCCCCTTCTACACTCCCTATATATTAAGGATCAATAGGGAAAAGTAGACGGAGGCCTTGGGTCATTTTCCAACACTGCCAGAAGGGTTGTGTCTAGATGCAAAGTTCTCATACATGGTAGGTGTGCATAGTTGCACTAGCTTCGGAGACCAACACGTCACCTACTCCATCACCAATATGCAAAGGTGTTGAGTGTTCGCCTTGCAGTCGTCCCCCAAGATCGAAGGTTGCCGGTGTCCCGACAACCTTCTAGGAGGGGATAACCTGTAGTGCACCTTCCCGGAACCAAAATACAACGCGGCTGAAATAAATAGATTAAATTAAACTAACTAAATAAACCTCTAGCTCGCCTCCGGATGCTTTAGGTGTTTTAAGTCTTGTTTTAACGAGTATGCATCCGGGCAGGCCTCGGCACCATTTTGCGCTCCCTTTGTACTGTTTAGCACGCATGTACTCAGAGTCCGTAGTTCAGCCATACCAGCCAGATAGGTTGAATAAACTTCTCCCCCATTCATTACTATTACATTTACTCTAATTAAATATATTACTTCTTCAAATGTATTCCCGAACCAGTTCTTTTGATTTGCGTTTCGTTATCAGTACTTACATGTTAGGTAAGGTACTGGTTAAACAGGTGCTAGAGCACATCAAGTTAAGTAGGGTTGGTCAAACGTTACTGAATATTAACACACCGCCCTACACTCCCATTGTTACCTTTCTTAATATTTCATTCTTTTTTGTCAGACTTATCCTTGTTCTATTTCCATTTTTTGTATGAAATGTCGTGACAAGTAAATTTGCGATCATATTCTTCATAATCTACCATACAAACACATTACATTGTTCAGATAAACCACGCCGTCTAACTATATTATCCGAATTCTGTGTACAGTTTTCGCCATCAGAAGTTGAAAGTGAGTCTCAAAATGAAATAGGTTGTTATTCATTTCATTTATAACCATCACATTCGTACATATAAGAAACAAATCTTATTTTACAGATGTCAAAATAGTTGCGTAATTTAGGGGAGAATTCAGAGAAAAATATGGTTAACATTTAGGAATGAGTAACGCAAAGTCTCAGTTTTCATTACTTATGCTGTTCAACTTCTGTTTTACTATATTATCGGTGTTGATGTCTTGACATAACTTTTGCTATTTAAATGCCTGTCACCTACTTTGTGCACCTCATTATCGCTCACACCAACTGAAGTACACAGTGATCGATGAGTGAATGGCTTTGTAAATTGACATGGACTTTTTGACTCCCGACTGAGAGCTTGACATGGTGGTCATGCTTGCATATCACAATGACCAAATGAGCTAAGCTGATGGAACGCTTGTTTATCCGAAATCTTACCATGTCAGAAAGTCAGTTGGATAGGGGTAAGACAGAAAGCAGCTACCGTCATAGTGTTAATCCACACACTATGATGGGAGTCTGAGGGGGAAGTCGTACTGCTGTTAGCTGGGTGGGGCGTGATAACAATAAGGTATTTCCTTTGGAAGACCGGCAGTGGTATGATGATGCTGCCTTACCAGCGGGAACGGGGGGGGAGTTAGGAAATGTTGGCCGCAAAATTACCATACCCTCACTCTCTAGCAGCATCGTGGTGCCTGATACAAGGATTCATATTGCGATTCAAAAACAAAATACCAAGATCCGAGAATTAACAATAGGCTGTAAGTGACCGGCTTCCAGGGGGTGTTGCATGGGCTCTGCGATGACACACTACCTCTTCTTTTCCAGGTACCTCACAGAGAACTAGCCTTCGAAGGCGTAGGCAACCGGAAAGTGTCAATCGCCCTTACGCTTTAAGTAGTACACATAATTCATCCCTCTCAACTGTGATTCCTCCTTTACCTTCACCTCCTAATACTAGCATTTGGCCTCTTATACCTTCATCAACCTTTCGTCCTGCAACTACTGCCAACGATTAAAGCCGTCAATACGTCATTCCTAGTTTCCTAAGAATGCGCCCACCATCGATTTGATGTGGGATCTTTCGACGTTCACACTCTATACCAAATCGGATAGCAAGCATCGCTCGCCAGAACTCTGGAATCTCTAGTCATGTATGTATGTTTGAGACATGTGCACAGGACCCAGGTGTGATTTTTAAATTGACCTCACTTGATCATAGAAGAGAGTTTTCAAAATATTCACCTTAAGATTATCCGAAAACCGATTGTCTAGGTGTCGCTGGCGTAGGCATAGCATTGAGTTGTAGAGCAGATAGTGCGCTTCTCGACTGGATACCACTCAACAGCCGTCTATGTTCTGTTCATCTGAATTGATGTGTAAACACGGAATGATCATGAGACTAGGCTATACCTAGTTGCAGCATTAATTAATAGAGAGAAGTAAATTGAACTCAGCATCACAGCAGAATATTCACGACATTCTGATCAATGAATTCGTGCAAAGTACATTCCTAGAAGTATTCGACCAGAAATATTCTAAAGGAAAACAGTAAGAGGTGGTCATCACAGTTCCTGAGAAGTAGGTCTATTCCAGGTTACCTATCTTAAGTGATGACTTGTGTGAATTAATCAGATTTCGTCTTCAGAAGGCTATGAATTGACATTTCTATGCGTCTAATTCGTTATTATTGAACGCAGACATAGGGATAGTGTAAACAATAAAAAGCGTCAAATCGACCGTCTTTATGACATCGCACTGTGTACATCAACACAAATATGAATATTACTCAAAATTCTCACGACTGAATAAATGTGTTGTACTTGATGATTACTGTTTGCCACGTAGTGCAGATATCTGTATCCATTTACAGATCAACTATGAAGATGATTTACTTGAAGATTTATGTTGTGAAATCGTAAGCTTCTTGAGTCTTCATATTTGCAGCCTGTTTTGAATTTATCATAAGAGAGAAATAATTCAAACGAGTATCAGTAGCATAGAGATCAATCTATTTTTTAGATTTATGAAACGTCACTCAGAACTACAAACTAACAAAATCAACTGAATGGTAAACTTCGAGTTCTGAATAAAACAGTTCAAAGCCACATCTCACATTTTATACTTGAAGAGCAACAAGTGTACATGGCGAAACTTCATTGATCGGCAGGATTACTCCGCAACATGCGATCAGCACATGCATCATTCCACCACTTCGAAACGTTAGGAACGAATACGGCTGAAGTTGGTCAGCAGTGTGTGCAAATAGACATATGACGCACTGCGGTTTAGGTGTCCACCCGTCTATAACTCCATGACCATGCCACGCGAAATACTCATTGTAGGCCGTTTCGTTACGATCTAAGTACTTCAAATATTCGGCGAGCTTCGCTGGTGATTCAAACTGGTCCACGTGGATGAACGAATGAGGAGGAGAGACACGTTTATACTCTTCGATCGAGGCCCCCATTACAATAGGAATCACATTGTGGCTATGAAACAAAACAAAGTGTAGATCAGCAGTCAATGACACTAGTGAGGTGATTGAAAAATACTACAAGAGTGTGATGTGTAGTATGAAAATATTCCTACATCAGCCTAAAGTTTCATGATCGCTTTCATCTCGCTCAACGTAGGTTATCAATCAAACTGACAAACCCCACGCACACTCTAAATATGTTGAGAGAGTTGTCAATCGAGATACTCTTACTGAAATGAAATGAAGTTCAGAACTTGAATGTCTCACTCAAAATTTCCCACAGAATAAAATTTTGCGATAACCAATGTGAGGGTATTCATGCATCTATCAACAATGGTTATTTGGCTGCTTAATGGCATATTAATCGTACCAGATTACCCATCAACTGTTCAACAACAAATTTCACGTCACGTGGTCGTAGCCAAATCCCTTTTGGATAAGTGACGATTTCACTTATATGATTTACTGTTCTGTAATCGTCATATTGAGGAGTAAATGGACACAGTCAGTTGGCAATCATCTCAGTCTTTTGACATTCATGTAGTTGGGTGGTAAGCAAGTCATCACATAGTCTGGTGTAGTAAGTTAGATAGCAGTGCACTGTCTCCAGTCACACAAGCTCTATGGATGCATCAAATACTGATAACCATTTGAATTGTAATATTCAAATGAGCAACAAATACTCAGTAATTCACAACCAATAACAAAATTACTCTCATTTCGCTTACAAGTAAGCGTTTCTGAAAACTTTCTCTGTTATGTAGTCTGGACATAAGCTGTTCTCAAAGCTCAGGTAGAATTTATAGTCTTTCTCGAGTAGTTTGAAGCAATCAGCTGCCGAACTTCTTGGAAGGTATTTTGTGCCACACTTTCCGTAAATGTCAACCTGTGGATAGAAATAATTGGCATCATTTCAGGTATGTACATTTCTGGTATGAATGATTGACTGCATATCATGTGGATGTACTACAATATAATGCAAAACCACATTGATGACGCAGCTCCACCCTATTATTCAATAACAGACCGATACGTGTTTGAATTAAATATGAAATGAGTGTACAGCTATAGTAGAATGACATCACCAGGTTGTATAGATACAAAAACAACCAACTAGGCACACTAATGAAGACAGTCAAGTCAACAAAGGATTTGTCAGTATAGGTTCACCAAGAAATTCGAAGAATATTCTGTTACTCTAGTAAAGGCATCTTCACAGAACCATTCATTAGCATATATTCATTAGCAATAAATCCCTGAACTTTGAAATTAAAAGCTGTCTCACTTTCATCGAAGATAAATGGTTTGTGGATGCAGAATCAGTAGGCTTTACAACCACCCAAACTTCAGTAACTGGTAATGTTCACAAGCCTAATATGCAAATGGACAGTTTGCATGTAGCAGAATTCAGAGTTAGATTATCTTCTTCCCTATTAGATTCGCACATTTGCATTCATGAACGATTACCCACAGTAAAATAGTATCTGATTTAAGGCAGGATTCAACCCAACAGCTTCTATGTGTTACAGCCCTAGGCCTAAACTGTTTCAACTGGGACACGTAACCACCGATCTTGTGTCATTCTATTTGCATCACTAGGTGTTTCATCACCCTCTTGCACAAATGAAAAATGCACACCTGTTCCTTTTACAGTGTATCAGTCAGGCAATTATGAATTCCTATCCCATAGCTGGCGAAGGCAAGTTCTAAATCACGAGTGATGGATTGACCATTGAGTAGGCTGTCTGAAGTTGATTTGCTCTCTAAAATGATCTTTTTGCTAGAAAATGATAGCTGAATGGAGCATAGCTCATTGCAGAATCCGAACCAGCAGTTCTCTCCATATTGAAATGGTGCTCTATTGACTGTGTCTGATGTTATACATGTTAACTTGATGTCTGACAAGGCGGGGTTGACCTCTGTTTAACGGTCAGTTCTAGCAGTTCTGCTCGCCGAAATATAGTATGGCAACTCAGAGACTCCTAGTTTCTATCGTCGTATGACTCAGTAGACTTTTGTCATTATCTCTTTATGCAATTCTCCGTCTCTTTAACGACTTGATGTCAAGCCGACCAACTAATGTTGTTGGGAATAATTCAACTAACTTCATTCTAGATTGTCTACCAAATCCACAGTCGCAATCACAAACTATGAAATTGTATTAAAAGTTACCTGACAAGCTGGTAAATACGCACAAATACACTGAGAGTTGCCTTAACTCTGTTCATCGTTTGAGTGAAATACTGCGGTCCAGTAAGCAGTTGAAATCAGATAGGCATAACAACAAGTGTAATCCACTAATTGGTCTTTCTTTCTGTCTGTCTAAATTGGACTTCAGTAGGGTGACATTGAATGACAGAGAAAATCACAAGGTTTCCCTCATAGGTAAGTCAACACTTTTCACTTACGAAAATTAATTTCAACCTTAGAATGTCTGTTTACTGAGGGACAAGGGTTAGTTCACAGTGGTGGTAACCAACTAAGCACACTGTTGAACAAATTTTCAGATGAGACGGTTTTCCCAACGATTCCTCTATGAAGTGTGAAAAATGATTCTCACCTCGATATATCGTGATAATTCCTTTGCATATGCATTTCGTGGACTTCTAGAATTACATTTGGTGACAAACCATGCTGCCATTTTGGTCTTCCCGCTGGCGTAGTTATACGAAGGAAGCGGATATTTTGTATCTGGCCCATGACTTCGGTTAAGTGGCAGGTAGTTATGATACAGCACATAGATCGATGAGTCCGTCCGATAGGTGATCGCGTGGTTGACCTGAATGGGAATGAAGAGAATTTATAATTCAGTGAATATTCGAGAAATAAATAAGGGAATGTGAAGAGAACTTTACAAACGAATTCAAAATGTTTCACAATTCGAAAGAGGTTTTCTAGGAATCCTCAGATATTGTTGCTGTCACGGTTGCTGTCTAGACCTCAATAAACATCAGCTGATAGTGAAGTGCTAAAACTCACAATCCCTTATCTAAACGCATGTGGACATGAATTCGACTCTTCTTAAGTGTAGAAATCTAACATAGCAAGATCATAATGTTTATCCAGGAATTTCAGGAAACTTGGTACATACATCAATCACCAGCCAACAGATGCGTAAGGATAAACCTGATTAATCAATCAGTAAAGGAAGTGATAGGTAACCAAAAGTTCAGAGGTTTGGTCACAAAAGCAGTGCATCGAAACACAAGCAATCAATGACAGCGCAACCAAAAAAAAACCTTCGATCCTAGGTCACTACACCAGGGTGAGATGTGAAATTTGCCACAGAAAACCACTGACCACTTGCTTATACTGTGAGTACTTTTCATGCGTCAATAACTTCATGACTTTCTAGAAGCCTCTTATTTTCCACTCTTTTCCGCCTTACAAAAGCTCCGATCGGTCGAACATGATTTATCACCAATATGCCGCTGCTTTATGGTTTGTGCATATTACAATTTTCTGGTTGACCATAATTCCCCTTGTGCCAGGTTTTCATTCCACCTTCAGAACACTTACGTTGCGTCGAATGTCTACTTCTACTGTCGTTCGCCTACAACTACCAGACAAGATCAATACTTCATTAATATACGAAACTAATCCTTCGTGAGAACAGTTTACAACATACAAGAATCTGAGATTGGTATCAATGCCAACGAAAACTCATTGATTTATACGCGTACATTTATAAGCAATTATTCGAATTAATTACTTACCTCTGCTTTCAACTCATCCGAAATTTTGATCATCCAAGGAGGCTCGTGTACAAAAATAAACCACAGTTGATTCAAACGCATTCTCCTTTGGGATAATTTTCATCTGTTAAGATAATGACATCAGCTTCGTGCCATCTGGATTTGTCGAACGTCAGTTCACATTCGCAGACGTGACAAAAGGAGAAATCCTGAAGAATATCTATTCTAGTATCTCCATGGTTCACGACTAATTTCTTCTTGAGCTAAAAAATAAGCAGAGGATGTGTGAATCAAAGCCAAGTTTACAAAATTGTCTTATGTTGGAGTACACTTCTGCAGTTTCCTGTATATGATCGGGTGAAAATAATTGCACAGCTGTAAAAATTACTCTTATCAGCTATTCTAATTGGTACACTAAACCCGTTCGACAGACATACAAACTACGTAAGAATGCATTTGATTCTGTCGTCTAAGAAGACTCTGAGTATATAGTGGGCTTACTTGTAGAAAGTAAATAGGTGATGAGTATCTGTATTTTAAGGCAATGATCTATGTGTCAGCAATCTGATATTATCCTATCTAGTCTCTTGTCTCGAAACAAATAGAATGGTTTTCTTCACTGGAATGATGGTACGATATAATTACATTCCGATAAAGTCTACAACTCCGGTCTTCATTCACTTCACCTACCTTTCAAAACTTATGACTTCTAATTAAAGCAGCTATACACACATTGTTTTGATTTTAGTGGACTTTCAACTTATGTACACTTTGGGAACAATGAAATATCATTGCTTATTGATGAGTCAGGTGAGGATAATAACTATGCGGAAGATTGAACTAATTTCAGTAAAAAAATACATTGTACAAAATATGCATCAGTGAAGTGGATAAAATATTGTCATGGTGGATGAAAACTCAGACTTAGATTCAGCAATAAGAATGAATTGGCTGTTTGATGATCATTATATTACCCTCAGTTGACCGCTGCCACTCTGACATTTGGTTTGTGGGCAGGCTATTGAAACCAAGTCTTTTATGTATGTGTATCTATTTCATTTCGGTAATGTCCTGTTTTTAGTTGGTTTCGGGTATATGCTAGCAGTCAATAAGCCAGTAGCTTGATCTTTTGAGGCGTGCTCAGATGGCCTTCACGAATAGACATTGTTTAATAATGAAGAGTCAAAGTATTGAGTAGGGGGCTAAAATGTCAGGCCCTGCCGCTTAGTCCCATATGAAATTTCATGAGGCATGTACAAACAGGTATCAAGTGTCATAGTTTTGCGTACTGCCGAACAGTTGAATGCTGATTATTCTCACTTTATAATCTTAGTTTCATAACCACAACCATACGGTCAATTGTGCCACTTCTAAAATGGGAACAACAGGTGAAATCAATATCTTGAGATCCTCTTCATCAACTGATAGAAAAATAGGTTTCATAACTAGATGAAGTGCCCTTCAGAGTGGAACTACGGCTCACAGACAGACAACATACAATGAAGGTAGAAGCTCACACAGAAGTGCCTCGGTCCAAGTTGCGACACTTCACAGTAACATGCAAGGAACAGGTGGATGGGAAAAGTTTGATATCAAAGTAGACGAAGGTGCATAGGCGGAAAGGGAATTTTAAAATTCAGGTAAGAGAAAATACCCAAGCCCTAGAAGACGTCAAAGACCGAACAAATTTGCACTATTGTCACGGATTTTCTGCGATGTCACCAAGAGTCCTCAACCACTGATTCCTACTGTCTCGAGAACCCCAGTCAAGTAGTCTACGCCTACCCGAACGGCTCAGACCGAGTCAGAGATTTCATGGATTGGTGCCATGTCTTTTTCAGACTACACAAAGCCCTCTTCCAACCTAATTCAACTACTGCTAGGATTATGGTTGACTGAATTTTTATCCTTAATGACCTCCCCAGTTAGGATATTTTTGACGAAGCACATCGACCCATGTATCCTAAATGACCAGATGATTGGTTACTGTAGGCCTGGTATGTACCATGGCGGTCAGGTGAGACCTGCTTCTAATACCTTTCGGTTTCTATTCTAATTAAGGGGAAATTATGAAGGTGTTTGCTTGTTGTTATCTACTTGAATGGTCAGTCAACGAGTTTAGACAGCTGGTAAAGTCTCATTGAAAGTATGTTTATCCAGTTTGATATCTATTAATGTCAAAATGACGTGTTCCTTCCTTTTGGGTTGACCAAACACCTTGTGCTTTCTCAGTTGACATCGATTTTATTGGACCGGTTTCTGGTTGCAGTTGCATAGTTGTAAGGCTATCGGTTCAAAAATGATTCAGAATCCTCATCAGCTTCAAATATCTATGCCATTGTAGAAGTCAATGATTTCCATTCAATCGCCAGCAAAATTTTCATTCACATAATAGTTATTTTGGTGTAAGTGGTGAATTCATCCAAGTACACTGCTGAAAATTTCTATCGTTAACAAGTGGAACTGCACTCTGATGTTTAAAACAGATCCTCTGATCTGGTTAGTTACACTACGGACCGTTATTGGTGATTCATAAGGACTTTTGTCACTTATTCCTATATTGCCTGAATTATTTCTACTTGATGAAAGGTAATAGGACTGTCGGTTTATAATAAATCACCTCTTGTAAATATGATTATATCACTGATGTCAGGCTTAGCAGATACAAACAATGCAATGAATCTTTGAGCAAAACTTATTGAAACACATATTTGCTGGTTGTTAATAACATCGGATGAATGTAAGCTCTTTAAATCTGAATTCACACGTGGTCAGTCGACCACATTTATTCCAGTGGTTTTATTGTGAACCAACACCAACCAGAGAATCACTAAAGCTTTAGAGCATTGAACATAAGTTTAATTCTAGCTTGGGGCTCGTCGGCAATAACCACCCACTACTCAATGTGGGCTGCATCCTAGAGCCGTTTAGTGTCATGGTGAGTACCTTACCACTGAGACACTATGGAGGAGTTCATTGATCCACGTTCATCATCTTTTGTGCATCCGCCATTTAGCGCGAACATCTTCCAAGGCCACTACAGAATAATTGTCCTCCCACCCTGTTTGGTTTACCCTTCGCGTCGTGGCTTTTCACCCTATGTTATGTAAGTTCCTAGCGACCATGTGATTGTAATTCACCTTGCACGTTTGTGGTGAAGAGAAGGATTTCACAAAGAGTCACATCAATTACTCAAGGGTACTGAGCAGCTGTTTTATCCTAGTTTCTGTCAGTTATCTGGTGCTCCCAGGTCTTTAACAGACTCCTAACTGATATCAATCTGACGTGAAAACATTTTCGAAGTCAATCCACTACACACAAACCTTGAAACCCAAGGACAATATTTGTTTGGAGGGAGGCAAAAAATAAGTAAACACGAATCTCTTCGACAAAATCCTCATAAATTGGCTACATTTTAGGTTCCAGATAAAATCTCTGAACCGACCAGCTAAGAAGATTACGAGAATTAAATAACGTTGATAACTAGTTATGCAGGTTGTTCAATGATTTCCATGTGATCACTTTAAATGCAATTCACCTCGGGAAGTATCGGTTCACACATTGACAAAGTGAGAAGCTGGATGTACGTTACCTTCCTGCATATATCCCTTGTAAAATTGCTTTCCTATGGGCGATACTGAGACTAAACAGACCAAGTGCACTAGGAATTAGGAATGCTGAACATCCTTGGTTGACACAAACTATCAGAATAGCTTGACAGGATTCATTCTCCAAATCTGACTGACCCGAATCCGAGAAGCCGTTCAATTCGTTTATGCTCATAGTTCTCAAAAACGAGTGACTTACTAAACACCACTTTCGACAGGGTTCTCATCAAACTTCACTCAGCTGAATTCATGATATACAATATGGAACGTAAAATGTCACAAACACGCGACTCAATGTTACGATAATTTAAACACTATTAATGTTCAAGTTTTGGGACATGAGAAGTAGACGTGGATCAGTAATTGAAACTAATTCAAACCTGCTTCTCTTCAGCTGCTTGTAACCTTCTTCAGCCATCGCATTACAAATAAAGATATATTTCAAATAAATCAACTCACGACTGAATTGCTTCTTTGCCTATCGAACAGTCTTTCGAGATCTTTCTCTGTGAAGCCCAACGTCAACTTGTTCTCCAATTTGCCCATTTCCGAGGAAACATAAGTCTGCTTCACTTCATAGCTTTCCTGCTTTGAGTACTTAGAGACCGACGATTTGTTCAGAAGAAGAGATGGAACAGCATGCGGTGTAAAGTGTGCTTTCGACTGCTCATGTTCAAAAATAAATCGTGTTCGAACGTAGTAAATGAACCACGTAGCAGAAATTGAAACCAACAAAATGACAACAAATTTACTTCGTCTCATGATGATAGTAGGTCGGCAGTGTTTATAACACTTGTAGTGTTATTTGCATATGTTGACAGCAATATGGATGTAATTTGAACCTGTGAAGTGAGAAGTGGGGAACAGTACATAACATAAGACAACGGCATTCAGATAATTTTAGATCATCAATGTCCTCGTGATTCACAGCGGTTGCATCACTTTAAAACGACCTATGTCGAGAAATCAGTAGTGTCTCACTCTACCAAACATAGTCAAACAGTTAACTGCACACAATGCGGAACGACAAGCTATGCCATAAATATTCACACCCTGTAAACGGTAGGAAACAGTCAGGACTCATAAATTAGTGGTGCAGGGGTTATTTCAACGACTACAACTGTCTAAGGTTGAGAGTTGAGAGCTCGCACTAATCAGTCACAGCACCTAAACAACTTTCCCCTCTCAGTTGAATCAACTAGAGAAATGTTACACCGAAAGGAGAACCGCTGAGTTTCTTGATACTGGCTTCAAAATGCGAAGCATGTTGTGCCCTGGACAATACAGACCAATGAATCCATCACGTTATAATCTGATCACAGACACACAAACATTGGATGAATGCCAAATGACCTCAATTATCTGACTTCAGTGAAGTTGTAAGATGAAAGAGTCATCCGTTGTCATCACTGGAGACTTTTTTTCACCTAAACCTATTCTCAGTAACCACTCATGTACATATATACGTGTAAACAGCCTGCACAAGATACCATGCTCTACATGTCTCACAATACTATGACCAAACAACATGGCTGATCAGACTTTCAATGATCAATGAAATTCAAGTAAGCAACAAGATTCAGATCTGTGATCTGACGATGAGAGGCTATAAAACACACTTCGTACTTTGCTTTTCTACTCTCCTGCTATGTCCTCTGAGGTGTTCCAACGTGGTGAAAATGAAGAGGGAGAAGATGGATAATGTTCAAAGTAATTTGATAAAATCCTACGTGGCATGATCACATCTCACCTCTGTCTTTGATAAGATGAAGGAAAGAGTTTCAGATCTAGAGATCGGTCTTCGCAGGTCAGATTAACCATAGTGGGAATCATATGAGTGGCCATCCTCTGAAATCTTCCACGAGAATCAAGTCACCTTTCAAACAAGGATTTGCCACCTGTGGACAGTTTCCTAGTTTACATCTAACTAAGCACGTATATACGATGGTCAACTTTCCATCAATCATCCTTGTGAAAGTTCTGCGTAATACACAGTGTCTTACACCTCTGAACTACAACCTGTCGACAGTGCACTGCAATCTCCCAATCATGACCTGCAATGACTCCTAGGTCATTGTATGTCAACACTGAGGGTAGAGGAACCCTACCTATATTGCAAATGTGGCTATCTAAATGCCTCATATGCATGGTTGTGAAGTCACCTGTGTTGATGGGTATCAATCATTTCTCTGAACAGGTTAATTAATTCTGCATGAATTGTTCCTATGGCGTCATCAACACCTCCTTCTTTCTAAATTCCCACATTGCCAATCGAGAATCGCAGATTACAATTTTGGTTTTACTTTTCAAATCTTTGTCAATGAAACCAGAATAGAAGAATATCATGAGTGTGGATTTGTTATAATCAGAGCATTTTTGGTTATGAAATATCGAAACAAAATTACAAGAAGATACTCACGTAGTGTTTTATACAAGTCTCAGAATATAGTATTTTCTTTATTCCTGCTCCATCTAATATATTTACACTAAACGCCTACACGACTGATAACCTGAACTCTATGGAACGATTAGTAGTTAGATTATTACAGAAATATTTGAAATAATCTAATTACTTGGATATGACTTGGCAACACATACCTACTGTTTCTACTATTCTTTCAAGATACTTTTTTCGAACGAAGTGAATTTGAAAATTGTGATGATATTGATTTAGTGTTATCTTTAACGAAGTTTTGACCAGTAGGCAGCCACGTTTATGATGGTGAGCAAGTAATCGAATAGTTTAGATCTATGAATGTGTAAATATTCCAGAATGAATCGACCCATTATAAATATTTTCACAGGTTTTCTGAAGTCACTGAAAAATCCATTGAACACGAAATAAGTTCATTTCACCCAAAATAGTCAACTCAGTTTCTTTTAGTTTTATATTGATATTTCTACCATGGTGTATATTAATATACTAATATCTGTCTGATTAATATTTATTAGGAGTCAAAGGTGGATATAGGTATTTAACACAGATGTGTGGGCGAGCAACTTCACGAAATCCACCTGGCAGTAGTGTTCTCAGAAACGGGGGAAAAATATTACGAGTACTACGTTCTTTCTTATACTAGTTATTCAGAAAAAGCCAAATAACAAACGAGGCAGCCTTTCAGCTACTTATTGACTGTATGCCTGAAAAGTAATGAACATAAGGTATGAGACGCAGAATGTTATCCTTAAAACGCATCTCTTGAAAGACAAAAGGATTCGTAAGACGAACGCAATTTTGAAGCAAATAATCCGTAGTTAATTGGTCACTGTCATCCTGCAAGCCCAGCTAGTACAGCTATCAGACTTTTGTGGAAATATTCCGAGATGAAGTACTGAATCACCTCGAAAAATTATCTGCTAGCATCACAGGAATATGGCATTCCGACTGAAGACTCCTATTTGACAGACCATATAATCGTGAGTGGGGAATGTTTGACATGCCATGACAGAAAACTTCTCAGTGTCACGTACATACACTGCAGTGTGGCTTTCAATAAATTTCGTTAAGTAAAATCACTGGGGAAGTTTGTAGGTTTTCGGTCGGTAGATACCTTCTAGTTTTGAATTAAGAGATCGTAGTATGACGGGAAGTGAGAAGAAAGGGTAAACTGAACACTTTCCAAGTGTCAACCAGTGACAAATAAGCTCCTGCAAAGAATAATTTTGTGCCTCCTTCTTCTTTTACTGCATGTAAGTGAACTGCCGATAAGGCCTGAATCTTCAGTCTGCTTTCACGTAAATATTGGGAATATTTCAATGGACACCGAATGACTTATTGACTCAAGCTAACACACTTCACAATAGTAGTATACAAATATAAAGTGATATCAGAGTAGACAATATTGTGTAGGAGAACCAACAACCTGGAGATAATGTGGAACACAACTCTCTCACACCACTACGGAGAAAGACCTAGGACTAATACTGACTGACAAACTACACACTAGCTCTAATTATGCAGGAGATACCCACGGAGCCTACGCAGTACTGCACTTCATGCGCAGACAACTGGGTGCCCTGACCCCGGAACTCTTTTGGAAGCTGTATAAGACCTATGTGCGACCTCACCTAGAGGCGCACAGCGTCATTGCACCACCTTATCTGAAAAGAGATGTGAACCTCCTGGAGAAAGCCCAAAGGTGAGCTACAAAGGGTGTCGTGGGAATGAGACGAAAACCATATCAGGAAAGCTGAAAGATCTAGGGCTCTAGTCCCTAAGCTACCTTAGACTACGTGGTGACTTGATAACGGCCTACAAAATACTAAGTAACCAAGTCATCCGAACAGCGGAATCCTATCGAACGGCCACTATGGCGATCCTCATGGTAACCCAAGGAGAGTCGCCCAACAAAGAGCAAAAACCCGTGTGCGATCACACTTCTCTCTGCGAGTTTTCAGCCACTGGAACGCATTGCCTACCGGGACTGCCACTGCTCCGTCTGTTGACAGCTTCAAGAAGAGGTTGGACAGTTACACAGCGATGCACAGTTTGCGCTCATCCAACTGGGATGTGGACTAGGCTGACACGACTTACTAACTCGGTACGACCAACTATTGCTGAACACTTTGTAAAACCACTATCACTGAGAACTTGGCTGAACCTCATACCTTACTGTAGGCGTCCCCTCCAGTTACCGTCCCCTAATAAAAGAATTACCATATTCCCATTTGTCTTATCATGTTATTTATTATTTTTCCTTCTTACTTTACGCTCTCAAACTTTAACAAAAGCTCTCCCCATCACCTATTCCCCATAAACCTACCAATGTTTCTTCTACCGTGCCGTTTCCTCTTTCTTTATATTTTTTCTCTTTCTATTTTGCCTCTATACACTTTCTCTCCCTTGATTTCTCTGCACTTACTTTTCACCTCCTTTTCACAACCAGTCTGACCAATTGTCTGCTGGCACGACATTTGAGGAACCCATCTGCACCACAGTCCTCGGAAGAAAAAGCGAACAAGCAACACCCCCTACAAATTTGACCAACACCCAACCACCTATCGGACTAACCAGAGCCACAGCAGTCGAGTGAGTAGAACCACTGCATTGGGATCCACCAAAGACCGTTCCGCAAGACATAGAAGCGAGCGCGAAGAAATAAATTGGTTTACACTAGCTCGTTAAAAGACATTGGATATTGGATATGGAAGTATAAGGGATTGGGCAGCCTGAAGCGCATTCGAAATCTTACTCGTTCACCTTAGAGTTTCGGTTTCCAGACTGCTTCACCTCTTCGCATTCCAGCTCTACCGTTTTTCAGTTGTCTTTTATTATTGAATGTAAGTACATCCTATGTTCTTACTGAGTCGTCGGCTCACCTTTCTTCTTTTCCAGATTTTCGTGGCCACCACCAAACTCACAGTGCTCTGCGCGCTCCCTGCAACAACGTACCTATCTACGGGCTAGACGAAAACGTATCAACAAATGGTCGTTACAGTCAGTAAGGATTGGACTGTCGACAAGAACTCATCAGTTGAGAATGCGTGGAATAGGTTTAGAACTCTATCTGAAGAGGTAACGACGCCATTTATATCATATTTGACTC